TTCTTAGTTGAATTTTCTCATTTACACAAATATTGTCAAGTAGTATCTTGTTAGATATACGTATTGGAAGGGCCTATATGGAATATTGATTAAATGTATATCAAAAAAATATATTGGGTAGTTATGAACCCAAATCGAAATCGATGGCTCGAGTTTGGTTTGATTTCAATAATTATAAGGACTCGAATGGTTTCATTTGTAAAATACCCGAATTGACCCACTCAATGCCCAAGCCTTGAAATAACATTGCACGTATCAGTACTTTGTGGTTCTTTGCTATTTTTATCATTTTATACTCTTAGTTGTAAAGAATTGTTCTGGATTTGAAATAGCATGGTGAAATAAAAATCCTACAGGGGACACCTAGACCTTCTCAACAGGGGCGGAGCCAGAATTTTAGTTTAGTGCGGGCAAAAATTTTTTGACGCCGAATTTGAGATTTTGGTCATAGATTTAATGACGATACAAAAATAAAACAATAGTATGACAATACTAAAAACAACATAATTCACCTTCTGCGGCTACAGCGGCTCTGCATGATTGCCTTCAACTTCAGCCCTCGTCTGGCTTCTTCGTTTGCTGGCACTTGACTCAGTTGGCCGCCGCCGCCAGCCATTTGGTGCCTCACTGCCTTGGCAGTTGTTGAGAACCTAGAGTAGGAGATGTACTACAATAATGGACTGTTGGAGTCGGAAAGGGAAAGGGAAAGGGAATGGCGGCCAGTGACTGATCACCGGTGAAAAGGGAAGTGGCAAAGGCGAAGGCGCTGATGTTGTGGGAATAGGAACGACGACGCCGTGACAGGGATGAAGTCTTACACTCACAGACAAATGGGTTGGATTGATTCAAATGAATGAATGAGTTTTTTGATTTTTATACCGATGAAAATCAACCTCCAGTGCAAGTCTGATTCAACATTTGATCTTTGTGTTGGAACTAGTTTTAGAAACATGGGATTTTTGTACAGATAGTCACTAACGTATGTCTATTGTGCAAAGTGATCTTATTCTTCAATTCTTGACACTAATCCCCCTCGACCTGTAAGTTTCATGCACTTTTGATCCTTTTCGTCAATTTTTCCTGTTAAGTGCTCTCATATGCTAAACTTTAATGGTGTAAAATCGTCCAAATGCATTTTTTTTTTTTTTTAATGAGACATACTTATTAGGATAAATAGCAGCAGCAGACATTCCCAATCTTTCAACTCATTTTCAAATTCGTTCTCAACATTTGAAACATTAGCACAATTTGTGCAAATGGATGATTTCTATCCATTTTTTGAAGATCAACCCATTTGACTACTATATTCAAAGATTTAATAGGACAAAATAACCATTCCATTATTTTTAACTGAAATATTTAAATTTGAAAATTAAAAATTTATAATACAAAGAATTAACCAAGAATTAAAAAATGGTGACCTTCCCCAATCTCCTAGTCTGCGGTTGGCCACTTGCGTCAACTAAGTGATAAATTAATAATTTTTATTAAAAAAAAAAAAATTACTCGGCCCCTACATTATTATTTGATAGACGTTCTACTGTATTTAGGACCTAAAATGAATCTTGCAATTTATTTCCGCATCCGACTGAACATAGGCAAAAGTTGAGTTATGGGCGAAATTTTCTGTAAAGTTGGTGAACCGTTTCGGTCAGTCGAGCAGCTTACTTTGAGGTGGTCATACAGCTTCGGAAGTTGACGATTTTCCATGACGAAAAATATATTGCCTAGTTTAACGTGAACTCTTTGAAACGACGTGTCTAATTGATCAAGTATCGACATTCAAAAATTTGTAGAATATATTAAAATCAGCTTCTGGCAGGGGCACTGGGCAGTGGGCACACATTTGGCCACTTCATATGGACTATTTTTCTGATGCAAGGTTCAAACAATTGCAAAAACTTCTATCCTCACGATCTTAAGGTAGATCTTCATTGATTAATACTGAAGTAAATAAAACATAATGCTATGCTAATATGTGCAACAAAGTGTGCTAGAAAAAATACAGGAAAACAAGGCAAGCACTAATACAAAATCCATCTACCTAAGATTCATTAATATGTAACACTTTATACATCGAATTAAACATATTTCAATGAATCGTGCACGTGCTAGGTTTTGATTAAAAAAAAAATGTCCCACAAGTAAGAGAGCATATTTAAGAAGATATTTAAATGATATACATTTAATCTTATCTAACAATTTAAATTTTTAGATCAAACTATTCAACTGTTTGTCTGTACATATAAATTAACTAGCATCCAGCTCAAATCTGCATCCCCTACACTTGAATGCCGAGCCCTAATTTTCTCTGGAGTGAATTTTGACTTTTGCTTTGATCTCAACAAGACCCGAAGAGGAGGAAAGGATTCCTCTAGAGTTTGCAGCCATAAAAGGTAGGGTTTTGCTATGTGTATCCCAGTGTACAGCTCCCTTCACAATGAAGGGGTCCACGATATTTTTATTGATCGCGGGCCCCTCTTTTAGTGAGGAGGTTGTACACTGAGGTATCAAACCCGAGATACAAATAGCAAAACTCTAAAAAGTATTATCTAATTCTTCTTTTTTTGTACAATTCTATTATTTTCATGACATCATAAATAACATTTATGTGGCTATTTATAATGTTAAAAAAAAAAAAAAAAGTCCTCAAGTACAAAATAAATTTTACATGGATTAGTATTTGGGTCGTGCTACTTGGACAATCCCGTGTTCAAACAGGGGGCAACGTGGCGCCCCTTATTTATCAGGAGTCTACGTGGGTAGACACCTGGCCAATAGGGGGCGCCATGTCACCTCCTGTTTGGATAGGAGATTGTCCAAGATGAAAAACTCCTAGTATTTTGGGTGATTGTTATGGACAAATCATTTCCATGTTTGACGTGATTTACCATGGCTGCTTAAAAATTAGCTCTTTTGGTTATTTTTGGTTTTCTTAAAGAACTATGGCAATTGCTGTGTGAGTTAATAATATTTATTAATACAAGTGTTTTTAAAAAAATGTCCAGTTAATAAACACTACATGTATTTATGAATAGTTTATAGATACTCACACAAGATATAAATACAAGTTATTTTACCATCAATTTAACTTCTTCATAGATTAAACTTGGACATTTTATTTAGGTTATAATTTCAAGGCTTATCGAGTTGCTTTGTCTAGACTCTGGAGCAATGATAAGAAGATCACATGACTCAATTGCACTGAATGGAATCATGTGTGAGATTTAAATAAATTATTTCCATCAAAATGAATTAAATCTCATAAATATTCATTTACTTTACTTCAATCTTGGAGTTAATAATAGTATAATATTTATGTATAATTCTAAATCGATATACCTTACAACTTGGTATAAAAAGGATTTTTTAAGAGTAAATTAGTCTTTTTCCGTCAGCCATGAGTTTGCTTTTTAGAATTAATCTTTTTCACATTTCTTAAATACATTTTAATTATTTTGGCACTAATTTGGTATTTTTCTTTGTGCAAATATTTTTTTCCCTTTTCTCTTCAATTTCCACCCTTGTTTATATATAGAGAAGTAAGCCACATTACACTAAGCCCCTGTGTACTTCTGGAGGTAAGACTTTTAATGTCCCCTCCTTGTTTGTGAACATATCTTCACTAATATACTGAGCAGGTACAATATCAAACCTTATATTAAATGATTTAGTAGGACCTAAAAATGCTATCGAACTTAATGATTTTACCCAAAGAATATATTCCATTATTCTTTTTTATTTAATGCAGATAAATTAATTTGAGCCAGAACTTCCAACAAGTTCTACTAAAAAAGTTTAGCAACTACACGAGGCCATGGTTGAAGCAAAATTAGCAGTCCACTAATCTATGAAGTTGATTTGTTAAAAAAAAAATAAAAATGCCACCTTGTAGGTTTGAAGTACTTCATTTAAGTTTATCAAGTAAAAGACCTTGGACTATCATTACATAGTGCCAAGGTATTAAGGATTCGTATGACATGACTTTTGAAAAATAAAAAAAATAAAAAGCTTTTGAGATTCAAAAATTGCTTTTGGACTCGTTTAGCTAATTTTATGAAAGTGCTTCTTGTAATTAGAAAAACTTTTAAAGAAATCTGATTTAATGTGGCTTACTTTAAAAACACTTTTCAAATAGAAAATACTTTTAAAAATTAGTTTTCAGATAGAAATTAAGATAGTTTCCTTCAAAAGTTATTCTATCCGAATTAAAGGCAAAATCAAAAGTCATGCAAAACGGGCCCTAAATATGTTGACATTTGGATGAGATTTTGTGCTAACAAGATGAGCCAAATCTGTAGCCCCAGTTTGCACACTCAACCACAGCTAGACTGCTTGGCCACTAGAGGGGTAGTTAGAAGCACTCCGATTCCTAAATTAGTTGTGTATTTTGAGAACTGAAATGGACTATACAAGTTTACGATTTTGTTTAGAGCAACCTATAAGAGGATTGAATGGGTTTATGCAAAACTGTTGTTCACATTTTAATTGTGAATTTCATTTAGGATTACTTTTACTAATGTGCCAACAAAAGCAATGAATAGAAAACTATCATAGAGAGATCTCGTTTCTAGTTATCCAATTACATGAGCAACACGATCATAGCCTATATTTAAGCCAAGCACAATGATATTGCAAGATAACAGAACACTTCATTTTCTTAATGTCATGAAGTCAAGGTTTCTTTGTTCGAAACATTCCGAATTTTAATCTATCTTCATGCAATGAAGTAGGATGGGATCTTATAAAACAATCTAGAAGGCAAACTCAATTTTTGTGAATAGTTGATTAACTCCAAAAACCTCTTAATCCGTAAAGGACTATCGTGTCTAAAGCTCAATAGCTCAGTGAACATTGTCGCATATGAACCTTTCCTAGAAAGCGTACATTAAGCCAAGAGCAAAGAAAGAATAAAGGCAAACATTCAATATCCACTTATGACATCAAAAGAGAAACCTTGATTAGTACTCCTACTTACACTAGAACTCAGTAGGATGTGGCTGAATCTTTATTTTGTAACATTCATTCATCGTACAGACCATCATATAAATTCAAACACTATTATGATTCAGGCTATTCTAGGCTCTATATCGTCCTTGAAGTTAATAGTAATTTGAGTTACCATACATTGTTGCCAACTTCAAACGCTTGGAATCAGTTCCCCTTAATATCGTTGCCTGCAATAACATTTACACAGTTAAACAACTGGATAATCCGATATAAATTTCTCTTAGTAGTTCATTTAACTGTCACGCAACAGATGTGCATTTCAAAGAAAGGTAGAAGCTTCCTTTTAACAAAACAACCCAACTTACTTGACAAGTCTTTTTACACTAAGCCTCTGTTTGGATCCATTTATCAAGTAATGCATTTCAAAGAAAGGTAGAAGCTTCATTTTTAACGAAACATCCAAGGTCAGTTCCTATTAGCTAACTTGATGAGTCTTTCCAAACATGAATTTATAAATTAAAGTATAAATTTATAAATTGGTTATAAAATCAGTCAAGTCAGACATTAATTTGAATAAATTCTTAATTACTAATTATTATCCACACATTTCATAAAACCCGTCCCAAATGGAGGCTAAAATATGAAAAAATAAAGAAAAATACAAGAGTTTAGGGAGTAACTTACGGAATGAGAGAATAGCAAATGTAGTCTGTATGATGGCGAGCACAAGCAAGATAATGGCAGCAAGGAAAGAAATGAGTGCCCATGGACTGTTGAAATATTCTCGCCTTAATTTCGCCATCCATTTATTCCGTTGGTGTCCACAATGAACGTTCACATCATCGAAAATATCAGAATACGAAAACGTTTCAGAACTTATGAAATTCTTTTCTAGCTGGTTGATTAGACGATAAACCATTTCATCGCTCCCCAGAAAGTTGCTAATGATTCCACTAAGGCGTAACGATTTTGCATCTTCGGGGGAATTGACGAGACAATGCATGAAGAATACGTAGTCGGTCACAAGTTTTTGAGGACTGCCTGTGAGGTAGTACTCATATGCAATCAGATTTCGGAACAATGATTCTGTTGAATCAAAAATTTCCCATTCTGGAATCTTCATAACTTTATTCTCAAATTTAATATCAAACAAACTGTTAGCTTTCAACTTTTTGAAGGAAATCCCTGCCTCTGTGAGCGGAGCCATGCACAGTCCAGTGCAGGCAAATGTCCGCATTGGACTTTTGGCCCAAGCCCATGGTCAATTTTTTTTCTTTTTTTTTTATAAGGTATGTTTTTCATTTATTTAAAGTCCAATCCATACACTAATTTGCCCCAACTCCAAGTGTACGGTGACATTTTCTGACTCTCTTCCCTCAACAGGAAATTAAAAAATTTTCTTTAAATGTGCTCTCGTTTTGAAATATTTTCAAAGTCCATTTCTTTCCTAAAACTCACATGTTTTTGGACCCTCAAATTTGCAACAAAAATTTTCTTTATCATGTGATTTTTCTATTTAATATTAAGGATTTTGATTATGTGAATGTTAAATATTGGTAATATTTGTGATTGATTCTTGAAATTTTGATTTTTGTCAATTATTTAAATAATTAGTAATGATTTTATGGTGTTCTACCAATTTGTAAAAATTAGTAGTTCTTTTCTTATCAATTAGTACTTAATTGTCACTTGTGGTTTATTTTAGTGTGAAGTGTCAATGCAGAGTTCTTTAAAAGAAAATATTTCGTAGAAAATGTTGATGTGAAGATAGCGAATAAAATGAATTTTGATGTTGCACAACTTGCTATAGATCCTAGAATAAGGAAGAAGATAATTATCTTATTAGTGTTGTCATTATGTTATTTTTAGCATTGTCATAATATCATTAAATCCATAATCGAAAATTTCGACTTTGATTAAATTTTGCCCACACTGAACAAAATTCCTGGCTCTGCCCCAGACTGTGAGCTCTTCAACTGAATTTATATTCACCCTGAAAATTGGAGATCCTGGATTTCCAGAATTTATTTTAGATAACATCTTTGCAGGATTTCCAGATTCCACATCAGAGAATATCCTTGCAGATGAAGAACACTGGATGTCATGTACAATGCCAAGAAGATGGTGACCATTAATAGGGACTTCAGGAAAATCTTCATTTCGCACTGGGAAAATTCTATTTCGTAGTAAAGGCCGTATTATAATATTGATGCCCCCATCAATGATCATATTGAACAAACAATCAACGATGAAAAATGGAATTTGATTCTCAAATAGCATTAGATCATGAAACAATTGATTTTGTATATGTCCATGCTGGAAAATGGGGTCATCTCGATCCACATCTTCTCTGAATGTAAACTTGCGGAGAAATTCAATAATAAAAAAACCATCAAGAATAAACATTTTCACAAACTCATCTTCATCAAGGCGGATGTCTTCAGCATAACATTTCCGGGCTCTGTCTTCCAATCTTCTTATTTCAGCAACATATCTTTCTACACTCGACTCCTCT